GGTGGGCTGAGTGTGGAAAGCCAAAGTACAAGAGGCAGAAAGAGGAAGAGTCTTCCAAGAAAACAAAGGTCACGTCTGGAGAGGGAGGAGGAGAATGGAGAGCGAGCACAATGGTAAAGAAGTCAAGGTGGCAGAGTTCAACAAAGCGGCATGCCCAACAGGGCTAAATAAAACAAATGACGTGGAAAGGAAGGCTAGAAAGATGCTCATTGCCTGTACAATAGTCCTCCCCTTACCCTTGTTTTCACTTTCCATGGTTTCCGTTATCCATGGTCAACCGGGGTCCAAAAATAGTAAATAAAAAATTCCAGAAACAAACAATTCATAAGTTTTAAACTGCTCATTGTTCAAAGTAATGTGATGAAATCTCACACTATCTCATTCCCTCCTGCCTGGGACATGAATCCTCCCTCTGTCCAGCATCTGCATGCTGTATATGTTCCCCACCTGTTAGCAGTCATCTGTGTTATCGGATCCACTCTCGTGGTATATTGCTATGCTTGTGTTTAAGAAACCCTTATTTTACTTAATAATGGCCCTAAAGCACAAGTGATGCTGGCAATTCGGATATGCCAAAGAGAAGCTGAAAAGTGCTTTCTTTAAGTGAAAAGGTGAAAGATCTCAATTTAAAAAAAAAACCTCATATGCTTAGGTTGCTAAGATCTACATTAAGAATGAATCTTCTATATGTGACATCGTGAAAAAGAAATTCCTGCTAATTTTGCCATCACACCTCAAACCGCAAAAGTTATGGCCACAGAGCATAATAAGTGCTTAGTTAAGACGGGAAAGGCATTAAATTTGTGGGTGGAAGACATGAACAGAAAATGTGTCCTAACTGAGGACAACATGCTACACTGGAAAGCACTGAGCCTATATGAAGACTTCAGCAAGTGAGCCCCTGACGCCAAGCCATTTACTGCGGGTAAGGAAAAGTTGCCCAGATTCAGGAGTAGGTATGGCATTTTATCGTTTTACATCATCGCAAGAAGAAGGGTGTATACAGTACAGTAAGATATTTTGAGAAAGGGAGAGACTACATTCACATAATGTTTATTATAGTATATTTTTATAATTGTTCTATGTTATTATTAGTTGTTGTTAATCTCCTATTGTGTATTTATAAATTAAACTTTCTCATTCATACATATGTATAGAAAAAAAACATAGTATACAAGGGTTTGGTGCTATTTGCTGTTTCAGGCATCCACTGGGGGTACTGGCACATATCACTGTATTGTCTGTCTCTGGCAATATATTGTTTATTCCTGGAAGGAAGGGGTATTTGTCATTGTAGTCCTAGTAAATGACATATTGTAAACATCTAGGAAATGTTTGGTGAACTAAATTAGATTGGCAAGGGCAGCTGCCATATAAGAATTTTAAAGAGCTCAGCCACAACGCAGTGCCATCAAGCACCCTCATTAGGATAAGTAAATGTTATATGCATATAACTATCCACAATGGAGAATTAATTGTAACCAGATTGATAAAGCAGTAATTTTGTGCCATCTGGCCAAGATATGGTAATGACATTTAAAAAACAATGCCCAACCTCTGTATGTATATGATGAAATTTTGAACAATAGAGGTTTACCAGTCATTTTTAAAAATAAAGCAAAGACCTTTAAAACCTTTAAATTTAGACTGTGAGGGTGTTTGTTTTTTCCTACAAATGATCTCATGATTATTTGTAGAAGCATGTGTAGTCATGAGAAGAACAAACCACATTAAAGGAGATAAATGACTCTCTAAGAACATGCAAGTCTTGGTTGCTATGAAAACTGCTAAGTTTGTTTCTTTTGTTTTTTTAATTGAATAGAGAGTGAAAAGTCAATTAGAAACCATTGGAAGAACTGGCATTGGAACATAAAATATTTCTACCTCTCAGTTTCAGAAACTTTACTCCATCTACGTACTGTATGAGAAGGGGTTCTGTTTGTGCCAGGCAGTGGTGTTCTAAGGAGTCACTCTCTTGGAGCATTCCCATCATTCTTGTACAATCTGATCTCGATACCCAAGTAATTTATTACAGTGGTAAAAAATTAGCCTTTTGTACTGATGGCATTAAATAATTATTGGCTCTGATCTATATTCTCTTGAACCAAACCATTTTCAAGTTTATATAGAGAGACAACTTACATCTGTGTAGCAGTGTCTTCCCCTACGTGGCATACACCTGACTAGTCAAGAAAATACAGAGAGGGAAGAATCTCAGGAAGCCACCCTGCTAACCATCTGCCAGGTCCCCTTTCTATCTTCTTTTGGGGGATATTCTCCATTCCTAACTTCTGAGGTGTTAAGAGGACTAAGGCCTGGGTTATGATACTCATTCTTGAGAGATGAAGAGATTTAGTATCAAAGAGGTTTGTAACAGTAACAGGGCTTGTACATTATGTCCCTAGAATCAGAATCTATAATGTGACCTATTCTATGCCATTACCCTTCTCCAACAGAAACATGAAAACAACAGTCACACAGTGTAATTAAGTGCTCATTCAAAGCAAACTCTGTATGGAGGAAAAAAATAGCAGGCAAGACATCTTGTATTTCTCATGGAATAGGAATTTGAATACCTTATACTAGATCAAAATTCTGGCTGCCTATTTTGCTTCTGTAATTGTTCTTGGAGTCTAATAATGCCACAGAAAGTGGGAGGACTCACTCACTACTTACAGAGAATGTTTTGGTTTCCACTGTCAGGTTGACAATCTTTTCATTAAGCCCATCCTAGCAATTAGCTGGGTCTCTGTACAGTGTCACAAATAATTACGAAGCTCTCATTCTCTTAGTTTCTTACCAAGCTGTTCTCCTAAATGTTGCCCTCTCTCCGTTGAGATTACCCGCTCGTCTTCCATGTCACATTTGTTCCCAACCAGGATAACCTGGGCATTATCCCAAGAGTATGTTTTGATCTGAGTTGACCTAAAAGAAAAAAATAGGCAAAAGAATGATCAGAGGAAAGTGGAACGGCATAAAATGAAGAAGAAATATATCCCACGGATGATGATAATAGCAAAAGATGAAGTCCAAGTGCCTGACATTTGGAATTAATTAGTTCACAATTTCACCTGTAAGCTACTCATCAGGGATTACATGAGTCGAAAAGTCCAAGGAACAATGTTTGCATTATAAACTTTTTTGTATTTGATGAGTTAACATTATTGCAGCTTCTTTGGTTTCTCCTTCCATCTGCACCTTATGTAGTACATTTATAGCTAGAGTGGACAACCATCCCAGTTTGCCTGGACACTCTCAGTTTTAGTAGTAAAAGTCCCACATCCTGAGAAACCCCTCACTTCCAGGAAACCCTAGACGGTTGATCACTCTATAGCCCGTTATACAAAAACAATTCCCCCTGTTGATGATAACACTTTAAAAAGCTAAGGCAACTGGGGCCTAGGAGGTAAAGATAATTTTTAAAAATAAATTGTAAAACACTAATATACTCATGGTCTTACATTTTTAAGAGGAAAATGCCACATTGATTAATATTAAAATTATAATTCAATGGGCTAGTGCTTTAAGTTACTATAAACAGAATACCTAGAATTCAGAATAAAATTCCAGCATGAATCATAATGCACATGACCAACTTTTGATTTAAAACTTACATAGTAATTATAATTAATATTTGCAGGTACTGTTCTAAACACTTTATATATGTTACATTAACTTAATCTTTAAGAGTCACCCAAAGAGGATATTATTATCATCACCATTTTACAGTTGAGCAAAATGAGGTATAGAGAGGATAAATAATTGGCCCAAGATCACTCAGCTAGAAAAGTGGCAGATCTGGAAATCAAACCCAGGTAGTACAGCTCTCGAGCCTGTGCTCTCAAACACGTATCCATACAACTCACGAAAAGTTTGAGAAGTAAATTTTTCAGACATCCTAGTGCATTTGTCATCTCAGAGAGGAAGCTGCCAGGAAGCTGTGTTTTTTAATCCTCCCTTTGTATTGGCCATGTCCTTATTTGAGAACAACAATCTCAGGTGGGAAAGACATATCGCTCAGTGAGTGGTCAGGAGAGGGAGATCAAAATATTGAAAAGCTAAACACATGATGAAAGTTTAAAGGAAGGGATTTGTAAAGTGTGAAAAAGAGAAGCTTGTGAACGTTCTTACTAGCAATTGTCAAATCCTTCAGGATTATTAAACAAAAAATAGTGATGAGCTGTTCTCAACTTGCAAAGAGAATAAAAGGAAATAGCTTTAAACGGCAGCAGGAGAGCTTTCAGTGAGATGTGATCACTGTTTCTCCCTTCTGAGGAGAGCTAAGAGGCAGAGAGGGTTTTACTTCAGAATATTCCCCCTGAAGCATATCCAAGTTTTCAAATTAGATCTAAATATATGGTGAAATATACTCCTGGTTTCATCACAAAAGTGTAGTATGTTCTATCAGAAAAATCTGGGGCTGCGAGCTTTCTAATTCTGATACCAAAGTTAATAATATAATCTTCTAGCAACAGTTAGATTCAGCATGAATCCATAAACTGGGAAAAATAAAGGCAGACATTCAAACCATGCTCTTACCACATCTTATGTGTGGGGTATATGAAAAATGATGAATTCATAGTGAATTGAAGTGCAAAAAATATCCTTCACATAGATACACATTAAATCTCAAGTGCTAACATAGTTTTAGAAGGAAATTCCAAAGGTTCTTTTAAAGCAACATAAATATAATTGGATTTTCTTTGTTATTTATTTTTTATTGTCGCTCTGTTCCTATAGGTCTTATAAGCCAAGGCCTGGCCTCTGCCTGGAACAGCCCTAGGTACAGAGCCCCTATGTTAATAGTGAAAGTTCTTATCCTGGCACATGGCTAAAAATCAAACACCCAGAATAAGATTAGTGAAAAGGAAGTCACAGGAGAGTGTCACAGTTGTGTAAGGAAAGGGTTGGGGTAGCATATAAATGACACCCTTCCTGATTTACTGAGGACAAATGCTTGCTGGAGGAAATTTAGCACTCCTCTGATCTAGGTAAATTCATCCAGCTGCACCCCTGACTATATAAACTTAACTCAGGGTTTACTTTTGTGAAGATAAAGAAGAAACAATTCAGTTGGCTGTTTTATACTTTTTAACCAAGTTAATGGAATGCTTGCTTTTGCTGTTAAGCATGCCTGAGTATTTCAGTGCTGATATAATATCCCTTGGGTTTTAGGCTACTGTGATAGATTACATATTTATGCATACACAACATTTCATGTTCCCTAACAACCTGTAAAAATATATGAAAATTTATTCAGGCAGTTTAAAAGAAAGCTCTAATGCTAAATGAGTATAGGGAAGTCAGTCTACATTCTTTAGCCTCATCTGTAAAATGAGAGTCCTGCATTTTGTACTTACTCTCTGGGGCTGTTGTAGGACAAATGTGATTTTAGGTATGGTCATACTCTTCTGAGTTGCAAATATCTCTTTGCAAATATAATACATTATTAGTCCCACCTTAAGCAGACAGCTGTTCTTCCCAAACCCAGCTCAATTCATCCTTTCTAATCCCTATAATCTAAATAGTAACTGGATTTTTTTTTTTTTTCATTAAAGAATCTCAAATTTTGTCTCTAGATCATATCTTGAGATTGAGGTCATACACAGGTAAATTTCTAACTGGGAGTGAATGGCCTTCCTCTGGCAGGCCTATTAGGAATAGGACATATATTAGTTGAATAAATCCTCCTTTCATGTGGTATTTCTATGTATTTACTCTTTTAGTCATCTTCTATATTTTGTAAAATTTCTTATTTTGGGGGATGGATTTTAAATTACTTCAGTAGGGACTGTCTTATTTCTTTGTTGGTTAGAGAAACACATTTAAAGAAAATGGCTGTCACCAAATAATATACATATGAAAAGATGATTTATTTCTGAATTGCTGCAAAAGATCCTTTGGGATTGACTGTTAATCTCAACAAGATTAATGGAATCAGATGCAATATGCTGGTCACTATGGTTACCCTGCAAATGGCAATTAACCCACATCTTACCAGTACTAGATCACAATTATTAAAAAATCTTTATGTCACTTAGCTAAATACAAAAACAACGTGCCCCCCAAAAAACCTCCTCGTCAATATATTTATATATTTTTATATATTTTTACACATTTCTCTCTCTCAACACACACACACACACACACACACACACACACGGTTTTTATTTTTGTTTCATAAGGCAGAGGGAGAGGAAAGTTCATAATTTACACATAAGTGACTGAATTCAGCACAGAATAAAATAATTTAAGCATGGAGCTCTATAAACAAGCAATTCCCACAATATCTCTATTCCTTCACCCTTGTTCTGGGTACATAAGTAATTTCCTAAAAGTTCAAACTGTTCTCATAGAGAATGGACTCTTGCTAGTCACAATGTTCTGAAAAACAATGAACAAAATGTACCTCAGTTACTCCGAAAGAGCAATTGTCTCCTTGGATCTGATTTGGATTGTATTTAGAACAACGAGGCTTCCGAAAGGATATGACTCGCTCATCTTTACCTCATGCAGCTTAGACAGACCTTAGCAGCATCGTTGTTCTTATTTGGAAGCTCATATTTCTCCATGGTATCCACTTCCCTTATTCTCTCCAGCACCCAGGAGCCTAAGCTTTTCAGCATCTTAGACTTCAAATTTGTAAAGAAATTTCCCAACATGCTACTGCTTAGCACATAGGATTGGCCCTTCTGTTACATTTTCACTAATTTACTCATTTATTTATTCAATTTTTCTTAACCCTTAGAGAGCTTTTAAAACAACTTAGAACAATTAAATCAGAACCTCTAGGGACTTCATTATAGGAATTAAAATCTAGGTGATTTGTATATGCAACTGGGGCTGTCACCAGAATGGCTCTTACACCTTTCTTTTTAGTTTTTAAATAGTCTGATACATACAAAATAATGAAATTTTAAAATGAGAAAGCAGTCATAAGGAAACAGAACCAGAAACATATTAATGCCCAATGATTTACAAACCCCATAAATGCTAATAGGTGATTTTAGGAAGTTAAAGAGCTAGGCTTTTTATATGTACATTAACTCATTTAATAAAGGAGTTAAAAAAGGAAACTTTAAAAAGTATCCTCAAATAAATGCTGTCCAATATTTGATATCTTTTATGATTTAAAGAAATAGGTTTATAATTTTTGGTAAAATTGCTACAGTCTCATTAAAAATTCTAATGATAGAAAAAGCTAAAGCAAAAAATAAAAATCATTAGAAATTTAATTATCCCTAAGTAATGACTACTAACATTTTGGTGAAAATCCTATAGAATATATATATGTTACTCACTTCACTGAGTCATCACCTCCTTCCCTGTAGATGGATTATATTTCCCAGCCCTACTGGCTTCGGACTGGGCCAAGGGAATTGCTTTGGCCAACGGACTGACAACAAGATTTTTACATGAGCTACTGGTGAGCATTGTGAGTTTCCATCTGCTCTCTTATATTCTTGCTCTTCATCATGAAAAGAACCCATTCCTGAAAGAGGGCTGCTCTGTCAGCCTGTCCCAGGAATAAGAAGCCGGGAGAAGCCCAGCTGAGTTCCACAGAGACTAGTAAATCTCAGCCACACCTAGAAGAGCCCCGTTTAACATAACACCCTTTATGTAGCTTGGCTTATCTAACTTCATCTCTTGCTACCCTCCCTCACCCCAATTCTCATTAGCTTTATGAATTTCTTTGAATTTCCCATACATGCTGCATTTCTCAACATGTAGGAGCTATCGCTATGGGTGGTTCTAGGTTTTGTGAGGCCTAAAACTAATAAAACTTTGAGAACCCAATTTGATAACAGGGCAATTTGTAGCAGATGCTGATGGTTCTCTGACTGTGTCCCCCAGGCCTTACCACTTCAGTACCTGCTGGCTGACTTCCAACTGCCAGCATCTGCAGCTCTTTGCTTTAAAGTCTT